CACTCACTCTCCATCTATCTTCTCCTCCATTCCTTTCCCTCTTCTACCCCATTTCACTTCAGTCGTCGCCACCATGTCGTTGTCACCACGTAAGCAGCACCGAGGAGATCTGTTCCACGCAGCGCGATGGGTACGAAATCTCCTCTCTCACTCTCCCTCTTCTCAACAAGATCTGGTGGGTGAGCATCACCGCCACTATAGTAGCGGCGCTGAAAAATTACTGGGCACAAACCACAGCATTTATTCTGTAAAATTACTGGTCACAAATCATAGCATTCATTCTAGTAATGGCGGTGATGTCGCTGTCGATAGGTGGTGGTAGTGGTAGTGTTTTTGTTACAGATTGTAAGGCAGTTTAGGTTGTGGTGCAAGTGGAGGTGGTGGTAGCAGTGGCGGTGGCGAACTTGATTATTTGTTGGAGGGGTGATGGTTGTGGTGTGGTGTGGACCGTGTGGTAGTTTTGGGAGACGGGTGGATTTTGGCAGGCGACAGTGGTGCAGTGGTGTGGTGGTGGTGCTATGAAAGGTGCTGTGGGTGTGTTCGTGGTGTTGTGGGCGATGGTGGTGATCGTGGCTGTGGCGATGGTGAGGTGGGATGAGGTGGGTCGGATGCCTATGACCAACAATTGGTTACTTTGTAACATGTGATCTAAAAATTGTGACGGTGATGGTGGATTTGGTGTGGTAGTGATGGTATTGTGGTGCTGGCGACGGTCACAGGGTGAAGGTGGTCGTAAGTGGTGTTGGCGGTGGTAGGTGACCTAATTTTTGGTGTATGTGACCAATTATTTGGTTATTTGTGATGTGATCAGTATTAAACTGCGACCTTAAAATTTGATAACTTATGACTGAAATATATATTTTAACCAACAAATTTAAAAATCTGTGATCGATTCATAATTTGTGACCTGTAATTTTTTTTATTTGTAACCAATGAAATAAATTGTGACCTATAAAAATTTTGATTTGTGATCTCAAAATAATCTGTAAGCTATAAAATTTTTGATTTGTGACTTCGAAATAATTTGTGACCAATTAATTTGATAATATGTTACTTGTAGATAATTTGTGACCTATAATTATGTACGTGTAATCTAATTAATAAATAT